GGGGGGGCAGTCAGTTCGATTACAGTACTTGCGTCCCGCGTCCTTGTTTCTGACAGACAACATACATCAATACAGAGGGAATCCAGCGTACGTGCAAGTGCCACCTGTTGACCTGCTTGCTTCAGTGTGCAAACATTGAAGGTGGCTATGTGGACAGGCTTTCGCGGTTTGAAAGCAGACTAAACAGATTAACTAAACTTGGACGTGTAGAAGCTGCAGCTGAGTGTGATGCAGGGCGAGCAAAACGGTCAGTCCTAGAGCTGGGACCTGCGGAGAAAGTATTCAAAGTTGTGCGGAGAACGTGAAAGTGTGAGAAGGGAGGCGTCAGCAGTAGCATGTTTTCGCTTACCCGCCCTGCTGTATGCAGCAAGTAAGGCGACCCGGATGATGGCACCACGCGACGGCCGATGTGGCATGAGAATATCGTTAGTTGTGTAGGTCATGGTTGTACGAGGGCTGGGATACTGCCAGGGCGCCCACACCTAGACAGGAGGACGATTAGGGTCCCCAACCAAAGCCTTTGGCTCAAAAGCCTAACCTTGCAGCAGCCTTGTTTTGCTGGAAATGCAAATGCATTACCGTTTTTACGGAAGACGTCGCCATACATGTTTCAACCCCTAACCTGGATAGCCAGGAGACTGTGTTCGTCGCCCATGCACAACCATGAGCTGCACATATATAAATAAACTCATGCCGCATCAGCCGTCATCAGTGCCATCAGTGGGTTGCCTTACTCGCTGTATACAGCAGGGCGGTGTTGCGAAAGTCGAGTAGTTCCAGGACGAGATTAGACAGGAGACAGAATAGACGGACGTAATGTGCGCTTTAATCGTCTAATAACGGTAGTACATGAGCTGAAAATATAGAATGGGAATTACGAGTTATTGGTCTATGCAAAAGTATGGCTTATATGGTCATGACATGCAGTTAAGTGAAATCAGGCTGCTGCTGACACCTCCCTTCTTCCTGTATCACATTCTTTGTCTTCCCCCTCTCCCCACCATATTGATAACTCTTATCTTGTGGACCCAGCACTTGGGGTTGATGAGTCCGTTCATCTTGCATCGGTTTTGCGTGCAACATCTGCTCGTCACATGGCGCCGAACATCTTCACGTAACTCGAAATCAGTCTTGAAGCCTCGGCATCCAGTCTATCTGGCCGCATTCAATGTGCGCATTTTGAAGCAAGTGGGACAACAAGCTGCTCTTGCTCTCACATTGGACTCGCTTGGCATTGATGTGTGGTGTGTTTCAGGAACGAGAATTTAAGATGCAAACACAGTGATTGAGCTAACCTCTCCGTCAGTCTCCATTTGCTTCCGGCTGCGCAACTCTGGTGATCTAGAGGGTGCTGCGGCGGGATGTGCAAGGGTTGGTACCGTGTTAAGTCACCGGAAGGAATATCCTCACTTGACTGGATACCTGTTGATAGTCGTCTATGTGCGGTTCGTCTGGCAACGTCTGTGAAAGAGTCTTGCAAGCGGAAGCTGATCGCTGTCTGTTTGTCGTGTCCGCTTGCGCCTCAACTGACTGCAGCTCAGACGCCGTCAAAAACAGGTTTTACGACGCCCTGAATGCCCTGCTGAGGCGAGCTAAAAGCTCGAATATTGTGATATTTGCCGGAGATATGAATGCACAAGTGTGCAGGCTTAGCGTATCTGAGACCCAATTAGGAGGTCGATATGGATTGGACTCGGTACCTACGGACAATGGCGAACGGTTGCTTCAGCTGTGTGCTGATCACAGGTTGTTTTCATGCAATATCAATTTCCGAAAGAGCCGAAGTCATCCGGCAACTGGTGCACTCCAATGGCATGCTGGCCACAAACTCAAATCGACTACATCGCCATCAATTACTGATGACGCGGATCAATAACTGACTCTCGGTCGTTTTGGATCGAATTTGTGGAATCTGACCACGGGCTCGTCCGGAGTCGCTTCTCCCTATGTTTCCCTAAGCCGCGTAAAGTGCGGACAAGTTGCTTGGCATCTAAAATACTGGCATATCCGGATGTTAGACAAGCGTACCAGAATCGTCCTCTAGAGTTTCTTCCAAATGCTCCATTAGATGCACCATAAGATATGAACGCACACTGGGACGAGATTGCCACCTCATTGCAAAGTGCTGGGAATTTCGCCTGTGGCACGGCACCACCAGGTGCACGCAAGCACTGGATATCATACCGAACTGTGGCACTGCTTTAATCCCGGAGGAGTATCGCAGCCGGTCCCGAACATAACTTGATGCGACGAATTATCGAAGGTCACCTGAAAGTGAGCGTGCGAGCCGATCTTGAAGTGTGGTGGATAAAGAAAACCGAAGAAATGAAAAAGGCCCGGAAAGCCACCAATGCCCGAAGATTATTTCAGTTGATTTGTGCTACCGGTCCCTGGAAACGGCTTGTGAGCAAGACCATCAAGCATCAGAATGGAACGACCATCTCGAATAAAGAACGCCTCGAACGGTGAGCTCAATACTTCACACAACAGTCATGGCCACCAGCTGGCACTCACCTAGAGACCACAGGTGAAGTACAACCCTGAACGGTGAACGTGGAACCACCTACGGACTCGGAGGTTTGCGACTTCATATGTTCTCTCAAGCGCAAGTGAGCTTCTGGTCAGAATGACCAGAAAGACGAAGGTGAAGTCCTCAGTTAATGATCGTCTGATTTGTTTGCTTGGGTTTGGAAAAGGAGTCTGTCCCAGACAACTGGGAAGAGTCGGTGATAGTGCACATTTTCCAAAAGGCGGCTTGTAGTGAGTGTGACTTCCACAGGAGGATAAGCTTGACCCCAGACTGTTGGCGTCACTGGGGCTTCGTCGCCTTGTGGTGGCTCATGATACACTGACTCGAGAGCAGCAAGCGGGGTTACGGACCGGTAGGGATTGTGTTGACCAAATATTCACACTTCATAAGGAACTAGAACAATGCCATACGCATAAGCCACCCACAATTCTAGTACTTCTGGATTTCCAAGGCGCATCTGACTCGTTTGATCGGTCTGTTCTTCTTGACAGGCTCGCCCACCAAAGACTGCCCTGGAAGTTTGTAAACATGAAACGTTCTTTGTATTCTCGGATTTCCGGGCGTGTGAGAGTGTATGGAGAGCTCTCGATAAGCTTCCACACACAAAGCGGTGTCTGTCAAGAGTGCTCACTCTCTCTAGTAACGGCATTTTCCTCAGCTTAGTTCTCGGTCTGAGGCTCCCAAGCTAGCGTTCACATCAAAACAACCACCAAAGGTGCACAAGGTCTATTAACGCCCAAAACGAAGTCAAGAACAGTTGAACAGCGCTTCGTATATATAGCGTAAGCGGTTATAACTTTCTGGAATTTCTGACGCGTTTTGGATGCGCCATTGGCAACCGGAATTTGGCCAATACTGGGTCATGATTGGCTGTTGGGTCCAGATTGTTGACCAATCAGATCTCGTCTTGATGCCGGACCGGCAAGCGTCCCGAAATTCTGGGATACCCCCGTGCGGGTCAGGCCTATCGGCCGTAGCCGCGCCTAAAGACGTGCGGTATAGCGGGATACGTGTGGACTCCTGCCTAACATCTCCACTTTGGAGTTTGTTGACGTAGCTCCGAAGCTGGGGTTTCACTTGCAGTAAGCTCACTGGCTTGCGGATCCTGTCTGTCCAGCGTCGCGGTTGTAATTCGCGCTTAGGCTGGGACTCTGACGAAGCAGCAGATTGACTTCCTGGGATGGTGCCGACATCAAAAGTGTCCAGAAGCATTTCTAGACTCACATCACTCGGTCCTGTGGGCAGGATCGGCGCATCTGTCGGCCGGATCTGGTTCGCGTGGCGTATCCATTTGGCTGGACCAACTTGAATCTCGTAGAGCGCTTTGCTGCGCCGGCGGAGGATGAGTCCTGGGGTACACGTAGGGCGTCTGCCGCTATAGTCACGACCCAACACTCTCTGGCCTTTGCTGAATGCGCGCGGTTGCTCCATGATGCCGGTTGAACTGTTCCTCCATTCTGGTGTTGCGGTGACCAGCCTGCTTCGTTTGTGACCGGATAGTGTCATGCGGTGTTCGAAGCCTCCTTCGGAGCGGTGCCTCTGCTGGTGATACTCCGTCAGGTGAGTTGGGGTCTGGTGTCGTTCGATATGCCAGCAGGGACCTTTGCAAAATTCCTTCCGATGGTCCCTCTCCTCAAAACTTCTGAATTGCCCGATTCAGAGCGTCAACAAAGCGTTCCGCTTGGCCGTTCGACTGCGGATAAAACGGCGGCGTTATGGCATGCTGCCGACAAAAGTGTGCAAACGCCGACGTCGTAAACTGACTGCCGTTGTCGGATACAATAGTCTCTGGCGTTCCAAAACGACTGAACAATCGCCGGAGTTCCAGAACTGTGATGGCAGTTGTGGGGCTTTTCGCCAGAACAATTCCTGGCCATTTGCTGTAAGAGTCGACCACGACCAAAAAGTGTTGGCCACCCACTGCATAATCGATGTGAAGACGAGACCAGGGTTCGGTCGGTTGCGGCCACGAGCTTAGGTAGGCTTTCACCGGTGACTTGGATGCTTCAGCGCACCGCAGGCAAGATTTCGAGACTTGCTCGATCTGGGAGTCCATCAAAGGCCAGTAGACATAACTCCGAGCAAGGGCCTTCATCCTGTTTGTTCCCAAGTGCCCTTTATGGAGCTGATTCAGGACGGCTGGTTGTAACTTCTTTGGGATGACCACACGTTCTGAAAACAACGGGCATTCGTCGGCTATTGATAGTGCGTCATGCCGGTTGAAGTAAGGCCTCATTTCATCTTTTTGGCAGGTACGCGGCTAATGATTGCGATGGTAGTTTATGACTTGCTGCAGCACAGGGTCTTGGTCGGTAGCCTGGCGGACTATGTCTGCAGCCATTGGGAGGGTGCGAACCGCTTCGTTTACTACACGGTTAACCTCTGGTTCCAAGGCTATTGTTGCGACCATGGTATCTTCTGGTTCTGGCCTGCTTGAATCAATGAGTCGGGACAGTGCGTTGGCTTGTCACAGGCTGGTGGTGGACCGGTATTTTATCTTGGAGTCGCACTCCAGAAGCAGAGGGGCCCATCGCTGGAGCCAGTTGGCAGTATAGGCCGGACTTCCTTTCCTCGAGCCGAACACAGCAAGAAGTGGCTTGTGATCGGTCAGTAAGGTGAATTGATGGCCGTAAAGCATTTTATGAAACTTCTTAACGGCAAACACGATCGAGGAGGCTTCCTTTTCTATCTGACTGTAGTTGCGCTCGGCTGAAGTCAAGGATCTGGCCGCATGTGCAATGGCTTTCTGGCTGCTATCCGGAAATACGTGTGAAATCACTGCGCCAATTCCATAGTTCGAGGCGTCCGACGCCACAACAATTTCCACCGATGGATCGTAGTGTGAGTAGCAAATCGGAACTTAGCATGGATTTGACAGAGTCAAAGGCGCGTTGACATTCTTCTGACCATGTCCACTTGTGGTCCTTGGTAAGTAGCTGATTTAGTGGGCGTCGAAGGCGATGCATGGCAGGCGGGAACGAACTGTAGTGACTGACGAGACCGAGGAAAGACCTGAGGGACGGCACGTCTGTGAATGCTGGCATACGTTTGATCGCTTCAATGTTCTCCGGGTCTGGACGGCGGCCATGTTCGTCAATAATGAACCCGAGGTACTTTATCGACCACATGAAAAAGGTGCGTTTCTCTCGGTGCACTTTGAAGCCATATTCTTGAATACGACTAAGCACGTAATCAAGGCGCTGCAACAGTTCGTGGGGGTTCGAACCCATGACAATGAGATCGTCCAAATAGGCGCCAACGCTGGGGGCATCCTTCAGCACCGTATCCATAATCTGTTGAAATATGGCTGGCGCTATTTTGACACCAAATAGCAGTCGAGTGTAATGGAACAGACCTCGAAGCGTGTTGATCGTGAGCAGTTCTCGGGTTTCTTCCTCTACTTCAACCTGTAGGCACGCATCGGCCAAGTCAATCTTCGCGAAACACTTATCCCCATTCACTTTCGCGAATAAAAAGTCTGGGAGAGGCAGAGGGTATTGATTGGTATCCAGCGCCGAGATGAGACCGGTGGAGAAATCTGCGGACAACCGGATCGTCCCGTTGGCCTTCTTCACCAACACAATAGGTGCGGCCCAAGCAGAGTAGTTGGTTGGTTGAAGAACACCCGCCTTCTGAGTTCGGGATGTCGTTGATACGAACCGTCACGAACTTCCTTCGGCAAGCAAAATCAACTTTGAATGTAGCAGTCACCGATTTGGACCGCGATTTGTGGGCTGCACGGTGGTGTCCGGGTGGCTGCAATCTTTGAGATCGACACAAATCTTTGTGGCCGCGACGACTGCACCTGGAACATTTGTCACGCCTGAACCGGCAATAACGAGCAAAATGCCACTCACCGCAATGCCAGCAATTTGTGGGAGGCTTACCCTGTCTTCGATCGAGCATTTTGTCAGATTTTCTGGTCACGCTGAAGTTGATTGCCTGTACACAGTCCGTCACAGGTGACTGACCGATCATAGCCGTGACGTGCTACAGGTTTATGAGACGTTGGCATTCAGTGGTGAGGCTCTGCAACGTCATTTCGGCATCCCGTTCAATTCTGTAAAGCAGCCGGGTTTTGATGTCATTATCCTGGGATGACTGGAGACCGGATACAAAAATGAGGCACTTAAAACTGATTCTCCGTCATTGAGGTGAGCTCGAAGCGCTCGCATTCTCGATTGACAAGACAGGCAAACGTGATGAATCTGGTGGGGATGTCAGTATCCCCAGAAACTGCTTATTTTCCGAATTATTGCCAGTTTATTTTCAAAAATTTTTGAATTTTTATATTTCGCGCCTTTTCCGCCATGTTGCACCTCAATCCGTAAAGACCGCGCTCTTTTCCTATTGGCCAGCTATACTTTGTGTGCATTAACTGACTCTTCGCTTCCCAAGGTCGCTCGAAATATATATATATACGACGTTGCTCCCACTGTAATTCGCCTTTGGTTGAGGCAGTAAAAGCCCTCTTCTGAAGGTCTGGTCTTCTTCTCTGTCTGCACTAGGAGTGGTTGGGCTCGCGTCATAGCTGGGGAGTTGTGCGCTCGTTCTCAGGTCGCGTATATTCGTTGATCGTACCCGATTCCGATACATATCAGAATCGTCTTCATCTTTCTTGACCAACTTTAGGCATTGGTAGCGGATACTGAACAGTGATGTTTGCTCGCCGAATATCTGGGACAGTGTTCTGACAGTTTCATCAAAGCTGAGGTCGCGGGGCAGTTTGGGGAGAATGAAATTTGTGAACCGTTCATGCTCCGGTGTGCCGAGTTTTCGCAGCGATAGTCTGACTTTCCATCCATCGTCAAATTTGGAAAAAATCAGTTTCGAACATGTCTTCGTACCGCTTGAACCAGGAGTCAAAAGTGTGACCAGAAAGAGCGTCAAATGTGAACTCCGTAATTGAGGCCGCGGTTGCATCAGTTGAGGAAACAGAAGACTCAACAGTACCGACTGCTGCTGTTTGGATATGCAGTTGCTGAGTCAGTGATTCAATGAGCTTCAGTTGCGCTCCTTCAAACCGCTTTTGTTGCTGCTGCATAGTTCTCAGAGCTGATCAAATCCGATTGACAACGTGGGTTCCCGTTCGCCAATTGTAGTAACGGTATTTTTCTCAGCTTAGTTCTCGGTCTGAGCCTCCCAAGCTAGCGTTCACGTCAAAACAACCACCAAAGGTGCACAAGGTCCATCAGTGCCCAAAACGAAGTCAAGAACAGTTGTACAGAACTTCGTATGTATAGCGTAAGCGGCTATAACTTTCTGGAAGTTCTGGCGCGTTTTGGATGCGCCATTGGCAACCGGCATTTGGCCACTACTGGGTCACGATTGGCTGTTGGGTCCAGATTTCTGACCGATCAGATCTCGCCTTGATGCCCGACCGGCAAGAGTCCCGAATTCTTGGCCAATCTCGAGTGGGTCAGGCTTATCAACCGTAGCAGCCACTAAAGACGTGCGTTAAGGCGGGATCCATGTGGAATTTTGTCTAACACTCTCTCTACTCCTTTTTAACTTCGTGGTCAACGAAATGATGAGACGAACGCTGAAAGGTCGCCAAAACCCTGGTGTTCAAATAGCCTGTGAACAAAACTTCGGGGATCTTGAGTACGCAGACGAAGTCGTTCTCATCTCCGAAGAAAAGGCGCCGGTGTTTTAGGATGAACTAGCGAAGGTCATCCCGTCTTTGATATGTATGCATTTCGCACCCACCAAGTGTAAGGTCATGCTCGCGGAATTACAGTCACTGAACACGCCACTTACAATTGGGACATGTTTTGCGTATGCCGGACCATCGTTTGGGGAGAGTGCTTCTTTCCATGCCCAAATCAGAGAGGCGGATGCAGAAATGTGGGCAACCCTTGACTTGGCAGAGGGGTACAGAGGAGATTAAGCAACGCTTGTGTGTTGTCGGTGCTACTCGCCTTCCAGGATGGGACCGCGTGATCCATACTGCACCTGGCTGGAGACATTATAACATGGCTGTCGACCGATGCCAGTAGCGTTCTTGTTGTCGGTTTCTATCCAGATTTCCTGAGTAAATATCTGGAAAACGATTGTATTAAGCTAGCACTAAGTCCCCTCCCCGTCCACCCTTACACTTTTCTCTACAATAAGGCTTTCAAATAAATCGTGGCTGTACAGCAGTGAAGCATCGGTGTTCAACACTGATGTTATGTTGTCGATGGTGATGATGATGAAATGATGCGACGAGTCGGGTTTTGTTTGCGACCTCAAGAATTTCCCAGCAAAGCCACGGTACTGTGGAAAGTAAAATGTTCGGAAGAGGCCTCCTTGGTTATAAAGCAGACAGAATTCACGCGTAGGTTTAAATATCTTGCTCCAGTGATGGTTCATATCCTATGAAGGATCAGTGGGTATGATCCAAAACCCAAGCAGTGTGCGCAATTTGAGTAAGGATGAAAATCTCAATTGAACGCGGTAACAGACGTGATCGGATTTCGTTGTGCCATTGCGGGAGGTGCAGTGGGCAGGGATTACTCTCCAGCGCCGGTCTCCATTGGAGGGGAGGTGCAGCAGGGATTACTCTCCAGCGCCGGTCTCCATTGGAGTTCCTCAAGGCTCCGTCTTGGGACCACTCCTGTTTCTGATCTACCTACGTGACCTCCCAGACGTTCTTGCGAGTCCATGTTTACTTTTTGCGGACGACTTGAAATCTTGGAGTTCCAATGCCAGTACTCTCCAAATGGATGTAGACGCAGCCAAGCAGTGGTTGTTGGACTGGCACCTTCCCCTGAATGATGAAAAGTGCGTCCATGTGTCGTTTGGAGGGGATTCAGCGAATGCCTTTGTTATGCACGGTGAAAAGGGACCAGAAAACATCACGAGGATAGATGCCAAAAAGGATTTGGGCATCTGGGTCTCCTCAAACTTGTCCT